AGCGGCTAGCACAGAACCCGACTCCCCGAAAGGTTCTCCTCAGCTGGAATATGCACTTGACTCTCCAGACAAAACAAAGACCACAAATGTGTGGAGTCAGGGTAAAGAAAGGCCAAGAGTAGAAGGTTCTCAAGCCACCATTCGGGCAAGCAGGCAGGCTGGCTGCTGCCGACAATGAAAACAATCGCCGATTTGTACTATTTAATCCTCTGCACGTGTTGTCTCATCTCATCCTCATCACAAACTGCAGGAAGTGAATACAATTTTAATCCCCATTTGACAGAAGATGAAGCAGAGGTGCAGACAGTTTAAGTAAGAGGGAATCAAAGAGCATTTTTTTCAATAGAAAAGAAAAAAACAACAACTCAAATTCAGTTTTACAAGCCTATAAATCAGGATTTTTCAGCCGTTTTCATCTCACGACACGCATAAACTAATTACTAAAATTCTGTGGCACAACCTAAAAAATATATTTTTTGCTGATCTAAAAAAAACACCACCATGGCATAAATTTGATCCATTCACACCGGACCGCTGTGTTGGCTGCTACGACTTTTTAAATCTTCACCTGAGGATATGTTTTATTGATTTTAGAGAGGGAGAGGAAGGGTAAGAGAGGGAGAGAAACATCAATTTGAGAGAGAAATATCATTTGGCTACCTCCGATACATGCCCTGACCAGGGGTCAATTCGGCAACCTAGGTATGTGCCCCAACCAGGAATCAACTGAGCCGCCTGACCTGAGAGGCTGTTGTCACTTTTTTATTTGACAAGGGAAAAGAGGTCCGTGTCCCTGTCTAAATAGTCAGGTATTGCATGTTTTAAAAATTCTCGAGGCACATTCGTTGAAAATCGCTGCTGTAAATGAATCCTCTGCCCCCTCCTCCCCAAATACCTCTCTTTCCAGAACACGCTACCCTTCAATCCTCAACTGCTCCAGCTTTCATGTAGTGTGTTTGTTTTGGTGTGTGTGTGTGTGTGTGTGTGTGGTTTTTTTTTTTTGGTTTTTTTTTTTTTACCACAGAGTTCACTGATAGCTCCCTCTTTCAGCTTGAGATTCAGGAGCCTATTGGAATCCTGGCCCCTCACCTGGTGGGCCAGGCCCAGGAGTGAATCTGTGGCTCTGTGCATTGAGAATTTTTGCTATGGGGGAGACCCCTTTATATTCAGCTGTACCCCATGACACATGGTGCAGATGGCACCTAATTAACAAATATTGTATTTCAAATATGCTACTGGAAGAGTCCCAGGCCGGTGGGGAAATTCTCCTCCCTCTCCTAGTCCAAAGTCTAGGTCAATCACCCAGGGACTCCCTTGTCACTAGCCACCAGGATTGGGGAGTTAGGAGACTGCTTTTGGCTTCAGTAATTGGTCAGACACAGCTGGTCCGAGCACTTCTCTCTGGGTCTCAGTTTCCTTTTCTCTAAAACTCAGGAGAAAAGGAAAAGAAAGCAGGGCTAGATTGGGGTAGAAGCTGCAAACCAGCCACTTGGGAGAGCAGCCAGCTTAAAATACATCTGTTTGTTTTGCTCAGAGCTTAATATAAAATTGAACAAATGCCAATGTTTAAAAATTGGGAGATCGTGCATTAGAATCTAGATTTCTGATTTCTCTTAAAATATTGGAATTGCTGCCCACTCTGGGATTGGCCAGAGGTGAGTGAGGCCACAGAGATGGGCAGCTGCTTGGTTACCAGTTCAGCCTCATTTGACTTCATTAAGGGTGGTTCTCGCCTGGATTCAGGAGGTAAGGGATTTGCCGTGCCTGATGAGTCAGGGCCCCTCAGAGAAGAGTGTGGGCTTTCCCACTTATTTAACAAATACTTGCTATATGCCAAGTGTTGTCTTAAACACACCAGGTATAGTCTTAAGCACTAATCACATACCAGTACATTACTTAATTCTCATAACAACCTTGTGAGGTGAGTGCCACTGTCACCACTTTACAGATAAAGATACAAAAGCACAGGGAAGTTAACTTACTCATCCAAGACTACAGGGCTAGTAAGTGGTGGCCTTGGGACTTCAACCCTGGCAGCCTGGCTCTGGAATTTATGCTCTAACCAGCATGATACTACTCATCCTCTTTCCTGTGATAGTGGCCAGACTTGTGGCTTTGTCCAAGTTTCTATGTCCTGATATGAAAACTAAATATCACCCTTCCCCATTTCCCCCTTTTTCCTCTCTTAATCAATTATTTTTCTCCCTCATATGTTAATCAACTCCTTAATTCTCTCAACAATTCTGTAAGGTCATCTGTTATCTCCATTTTAAGATAAGGAAATTGATGCACAGAGAGGTTAAGTGACTTGCCCAAGATCATGCAGAGCCAGAGTATGTTGTAGGCCATCTTGGCTTTATCTGCCCCTGAACACCCTAACCACTCCCCCTTGACATTTATTTCTTCCCTCCTTTATTTTTCTACTCACCTATCCATTCAGCACTCAACTCAGACCGTGTGCTGGGCATGAGGGACAGCTGTAAGGTGCACTGAGGCTGGCTGATCAGGAAAGTGATATCCTCTTGTCAGAAAAGGAGCTGCCCATGACCACTCCCTTTATTGCTGAGGCCAGTGGGAGAACTGGTTTTAAACTAACAGCCCAGGAGAGTTCAGGAGGAAGCAGCAGAGGGAAGGTGGGTGGCGCCTAGCAGCTTCCTTCAGGGTAAGTCCTCAGCAAGGCACATTGTCAGGAAGACCTCAGCAGCCCTTTGTGTACACCCCCAAACCCACCTTTTACCCCTATAGCACCAACTGGCCTTTTAGTCTTGGTTCTGCCACTGACTTTATGTGGAACTATGTACAAGGGGCCTCCCCTTTCTGGGCCTCAATTTCCTCAAATGTAAAGTGAGAACATTTGACTATTGGAAGTCACAAACTGGCAGCTCAAAAGCCAGACCCAGCTCAAGGACATATTGTGCTTGAGTATTTGCAAAATGCTTTTAAAAAAAAATAAAATTTGGCACAGCCAGTGTTACTCAGTAGTTGCTCCTCAATCCATGAACCAAGAGGTCACCAGTTTGATTCCTGGTCAGGGCACATGCTAGGGTTTTGGGCTCAACTCCCAGAAGGGGGCATAAAGGAGGCAGCCCATTGATGATGTTGCTTATTGACATCTCCATCTCACTATCCCTCTTCCTTCCTCTCTCTCTCTAAAAATGAATAAACACACTAAAAATAAATAAATAATGTTTTGTTTTAGAACAGTTTTAGATTTACAAAAAAAATTGCTAAGAAAAGTACAGAGAATTCTTATCTACTCCATATATAGTTTCCCCTATGATTAACAGCTTATATTAGTATGGCACATTTGTCACAATTAATAAATCAATATTGAAATGTTAATATTAAGTATAGTTCATATTTTCTTCAAATTTCCTTTTTTTTTTTTTTTTTTTTTTTTTTTTTTTTTTTTTTTTTTTTTTACCTAAAGTCCTCTTTTCTGTTCCAAATACCACATTTTATTTAGTCATCATATCTCTTTAGGTTCCTTTTGGCTGTGAAAGTTTTGCAGAATTAAAAAAAATTTTTTAATGCCTTAGAAGGAATGTTTTAGGGTACCAGGAATATTTTATAGTTTGTTCTGGGTTGTGGTCACATCTACAAATATATGTAAAAATTATTAAGTATTACATTTAAGATTAGAGCATTTTACCCACTTTAATGAATGTGTATCATGCCTCTACAAAAACCAATTGAATGTCTTCTCTTCAATTTACCACAGTCCGCAGCACTCCCTATTACATTCTACCCGAGTCCATCATTCTTTGATATCATTTGTTTGACATCTGTAGTCACCATGTGGTGTATAAGTAAGCCACTTCTAGTTCACTCATCTGTAAAATGAATATACTGATATTTTTTACCTGATGAGGCTGTAGTGAAGATTAACTGAGATAACATACATAAGTTCTTAGCACAGTGCCCAGTATATAAGTGTTGAATAAATTACTCATGTAACATTTATATTATTAAAACAGGTACATGCTCTTATTTCTCCTTAAAGCAAACCTGACTGTCCCCCTTCTCTGAGTCTTCATCTCCATCCCTCCCTTCTAGGGAAGATCCAAACTCTGAATGCCAGATAGTGAAAGAGACAGGAACAAGCCTGCAGAGAGGGCCTATCTTTACTGATGGAACCAGGAGACCCCTGAGGATAACCTTTAGACCTACCTCCGTGTCCAAGGAAACTTTGGTGAAAGTTGGAGTTCCAATCCTTCCCTTCTTAAGAAGTGCAAGAAGTTCTGCACTTCTGACATCTGCCGTCAAAAGCTGCATTCTGCCTGCATCCTGGCTAAGGATCCCTGGGACAGTGGGGGAGCTGGAGGGCTTAGGGATGGGGCTGTGGAAATCATGGAAGGCAGTACCCTCCCACCCTGCTCTCTGTTGGCCCAGCCTCCCCTGTGTGATGCCCCAAGATCTGTGCCCAGAAACAATGCAGTTAGTGCCTCTAGGATTCTCAGATGCTTTAGGGGGGCTTCTTGCAAGGAGAAACTAAGCTCGAGGCAGGATGTGTTAAGAGACAATGAAGACCAATGAAGGCCGCTGAGATGGTGAGGGGAGCAGAAAGAATAGGGATGGGGTTAGAAGGCCATGCTGGGGCCTGTCCTGCTCTCCGACTTGCTGTGTGGCCACTGGCAAGTCCCTTTCCCTCTCTAAGTCTCCCTTTCCTGATATTAATTATAACAACAGCAATAAAAACAACACCAATAAGTAGTAATACTGATGATGGCGGTGATGATGGTGGTGTGGTGATAGTGGCTCCTAATTTAAGTATGAGGTACAGGATAAGCCCATGTGTTTGCAACATAATTTCATCTTTTAAGTACCCCATGAAGTAGGTCAGAGGTCAAGGACTTGTCTAAGACTTCCTAACTGACAAGTTTACAGATACAGGATTCAAAACCTGGTCTGTATGACTCAAAAGTCTGAGGTGGTCTTCTTTGTAGTTGCATCTGTGAAATGGGCAGGTAGCCTAAAGAGACTTTTAACTTTCCCTTCAGACTGACCCTGTGGCCTCTGAAAGCCAGTTCCAGTGAGGATGCTCAGAACCGTGGAACCCTTACCTGCGCTAAGGATCTGTGATTATCATCTCATTTGATCCTCACAACAGCCAAATAAAATAGGTGTGGTTATCACCACCTCCATTTTACATGGTAGGAAACTGAGGCACAGAGAAACTGAGGCAAATGTGCAAAGTTGTACACAGCAGCCAGGATTTGAACCTGGGCAATCTGGCTCCAGAGCTCACGCTCTTGCACACTCTAACAGCCCTCTGGAGAAAGGGCATCCATAAACTGTGTGGGCCAGAGACTGTTCCCAGACCGAGCTCCTTTTCAATGCCAAAGGACCCTGTGAACAGGCCTCACCCTCCACCTTCCCTCCTCGCCCAGAATTCAAAGGCTTGCAGGTCCCTCCCCTTACACTACAAGTTGTTTCCATCTCAGCAACCCTGTGCCCTGGAGATCCAGGCCCATGAGGGGATCAGCCAGTCCAGAGCCATGGGCAGTGCCCAGGGAACCTGCCCTCCCATACCTGGGCTGGAGATGGTGGCGAGTCCCCCAGTGACCCCGCTGGGTCTCAAGCCACAGACACAAACCCCTATTCTGACCTCTCGGCTTCAGCACCATCAGTCACTGCAGAAGCCTGCAGTCTGCTGTTACACCCAGTGTGGTAGCCACGGTGCTGGTTGCGTCTTGCTGCCAGCAGGGCTGCCTTCCTTTTTGGCCTTGGGATCAGTGAGTGGGGAGGCCGGGTAGGAAGGGGCAGGGGAGGGTGGCTGGCTATCAAGGCCACAGGCTGGCTTCCGCAGGGCTGTGAGATTGGAGAAACAGTGGCCTCTGCCAAAAGCAGTGTGGGTGGTGGGCATTCCTGTGCCCCAGTTTCCTCCTGGGCCACTGTTCACTTGACGTTTCTGATCCTATCAGCCGTGCCCTGGCTCTAGTCCTGACTACCTGGAAGTGCTTTTTGTTCTGAGGACTCCCTGTACGCTGGCTAGTGTAGGGTGGCCCTGGGAACGTGAGGAAATGGCAGCTGCCATGTGTGCATCTGGCAGGACGCAAGAACGGATTTTTCCAAGGAATCGGGACACATGGGTGTGAACACTGGCAGAGGCTAGGCCAGGAGATGTGGGGAGGGCCTGGGCCAACAGCCCAGATCTCATCTCCTTCAGGAAGCCTCCCTGGACTACAGGGAAATGGCGACAGTCTCCCATCCACCCTGTCTCTTGGCCCCATGACACTCCTTGCTTGTTCCCTTGTAACATGTCTGAACAGGCAAAAACCATTTCTTGTTTTCCATGAAGCAGAGCCCACATTCCTTCTCTAACATCGCTGGAGAGGGAGTGTTTCCACACAAGTGGTTTCCCAGCTCCCATACCTTCCTCTTCATGTGCCGCCGTATGTTTTATTTTAAGCCTTTCAGGGGTGAGGAACTAACCCGACTATTTATTTCATTTTTAAGTGAATTGATATTTTGCTAATCACAACAGCTCCTATTTGACAAATAGCTGAACATCTATGTCGCAAACATATTATTTAGTCAATGTATTGACTTCCTTTGCTTCCCAGCCTCTAGCTTTTTTATTTTTATTTTTTTAAATATATTTTTATTGATTTTTTATAGAGAGGAAGGGAGAGGGATAGAGAGTTAGAAACATCAATGAGAGAGAGACATCGATCAGCTGCCTCCTGCACATCCCCCACTGGGGATGTGCCCGCAACCATGCCCTTGACCGGAATCGAACCCAGGACCTCTTAGTCCACAGGCCAATGGTCTATCCACTGAGCCAAACCGGTTTTGGCTCCTCTCGCTTTTTAAAACCCAGTTTAAGTCACACAGGTGCTAGATGCATATGTCCAAGCTAGTGCAGGGACCACAGTGCCAGTGGGGTGACTGCTGGGTGGTGGGGTGACTGCTGGGTGGTGATGGGAGGCTCTCCTAAGTATGTTTACCTCTGCTGTCCCTTCACTAAGCAGCATGTTTTAAGCCCGTGCATCTCATTTTACTGTTTTGTGTCTGCTCTTGGCTTAACTCTGCAAGCTCTCTATGACTGTGGTGTGTTTGCTCCTAGTGGCAAACTCCCTCTGCTGGGACTTCATAATGTACCCTCCACCCCCAGAGGCCTCCTGGTACTTTCTTTATTCAACATGTGCTAAGTATCCACTGTGTGTTAGGGACTAGAGCACATGTGTCAAACACAAGGCCCGCGGGCCAAATCCGTCCCTCCAGGCCTTGCAATGTGGCCCGCACTGCGCTGTCATCACTGCACTCCGCTGCGTTTCCATCACAATGACAGTTTGTGACTGTTCAGTAAACCATTCGGCCCGTGATTTAGGCTGGATTTTAGATTTTGGCCCCTTCTCTGATTGAGTTCGACACCCCTAGTAGAGATACAAAGATCATCAAGACCTGGACTCTGGGCTCAGGGTGATTGTGAACACATGGATTGATATGTGTGCTCAGAGAGGTTAGATCACTTCCTCTGGGTCACACAGGTAGGAGGAAATAGGGCATGAACATTATACTTATTTGAATCAAAACCACAAGCAAGCTCTTTCCACCGCTCCTACTCCCTTGGGGAGTTTGCGATTTAGTGGGAGAGATATAACTAAACAACTAAATAAAACTTGTTATGACACATTCTACAGAGGCACATCTGAAGAGGCCAGACAGAGGATAAAGTGGTTGATTTTCATGGAGGTGGAGGTTACATTGGGGACTGTTCCGGGGAGGTGAAACTGAGAAGGATTTCTATTCTCTAATTTAACAAACAGATAATACATGTTGTTAAAATTGTGTCTAAAGTAAGAGTCAAATGGCCTTAAGTGAGAAATTCTTCGTGCATAAAATGCCTGAACATGAAGTTCATGAATGGTGTGCCATCTCTCCACTTTGCACATAACAGGTAATGAGGGCCCCAACCCTGAAGATAACTAGGAAGAAATTCAAAAGTTAACAGTCAAGGATTCTGGATAAAGTTTTTAGCATTGGGTGGGATTGTGGAGGAGTTTGTTGGTTCCTCCTAATAATAAGATCCTATAAGTTTTATTAGTGTTGACCTAATGAAAGGAAGGCAGGTCCCTTCTTAATTCTCCCACTGATCTAGGGAGGGGAACCTTCAACCCCAGGCAGGCCACGGCTGAGGGCAAGACCTGAGGGAGCTCAGTGACACCTGAAGCCCAGTAGCCTTTGACTCAGATGCAACAAAATTTTGAGCAAATGCCTACGAGGCTCATGGGTACTGGTTCCCTCAGCAACCCCCAGGGAAGCCCCAGCGTCAGGAGCGCTTCCCCAGTCAGCCTGAGCCACCAGGCCTGCAAGAGCAGGGAGCACTTGCCCAGGTCCCACAGCAGCTTCTGGCAGATTAGGCTTATGGATGGGGGACTTCTGGAGGCCACTCCCCAAAGCCCTACAGAGCTGCCCAGAATCCACTTGCAGGGAGGAAACTGAGGCCCAGAGAGAGAAGAGGGAGATGCCTGCTGGGGAGCCAGCATCAAATGAGGCCCTTTAAGGCCTTCCCTCATCTGTGAGGTGAGAACCATCTCTACTTTGCATATGGGAAAACCGAGACAGAAAAAGTGGCAACATTCACATAGGATTACAAAGCTCAGACTGGCAGCGTTGGGATTTGAACCCAGCATCTAGTGTGCCTAGTCTGATGCATTCTGACCAGTTCATAGTGCATTGTCCTCAGTGGTCACTATAGTGTTGGAAATATAGGTTATCGTGCTCTCAGTTCAAGTGATGTGGGAACTTCCAATATTCATGGGAAGTTTATTTTAAGAATGAGGATCTGGCAAGAAGGGTGATCTACCTCAGACCCCTCAGGGACCCTGGCCAAGCTGAGGGTACAATGGGAGTGATGAGCTCTGGATTCCTGTGCACTTCTGGACTTGCTGTGTTGGCAGGGACTCAAGATCTCATTCCAGAATGAAAGCTGAGTGACTGCTCAATTATCTGACCACACAAAGAGTGACTGGGGTTCTCCCATGGTCCTCGGAGTACTCAGGAAGGACATTTCTCCCTTCAGGGTGACATTTCTCACTTCAAGGCAGGAAGTGGCCCAGGAAGGGAGCCTTTTCTCCTGCTCCTTGTATAATAGATCATTGCTGGGAAGGTTCCCGGCGGCCCCAGCACCCACTTTCCCAGTAACAGCCAGCTGCTCACCTGCCTGCCATCTGCCTTTCCTTGTGGTCTTCCCCGTGAACTCCACGAAGATTAGGACCCCGGCTCTCTGTATTCCCGGAGTCCAGCACACAATGGGGCTGACAAAGAGCCTGAGTTCAAACTCACTTCCTCTTCGTGTAAGATAATGACCAGAGACCCAGACTGGAGTTTGTGAAGGCCAAGAGTCAATGGGAATCTTCTGGAAGCTAAGGAGTTTATGATTTTGAAGGACATTGCTCTTTTGGAAAATGACACAAAATACTCTTTGAGTCTATTTGAAAAATGTCACGAATGAACTGGCAGCCTGTTTAGAATCAGCTTCAAACAACTATGACGTAATTGTTTCCCTTCCTTTTGTAGAGATATGTGGGGGGCCTATAAATATGACCTCACTTGGAGGTAGAGTCTTTATAGAGGCAAGCAAGTTAAGATGAGGTCATCCAATGTAACTGGTATCCTTTTAAAGGGAAAATTTGGGCACAGAGACAGACACTCATGGAGGGAAGATGGTGTGAAGGGGGATGAGGGTAGCACACCCAGAAACCAAGGAACCCCAAAGATTGCCACCAAACCACCAGCAGTTGGGGGAGAGGCCTGGCACAGATTCTCTGCTGCAATGCTCAGAAGGAACAAACCCTGCCGAATCCATGATGTTGGACGTCCAGCCTCCTGGACTATGAGACAACATGTGTCTGTTACTTTAAGCCACAGTTTGAGGTGCTTTGTTACAGCAGCCTCAGCAAACAATACAGATGGCAAACTGTCTATTCCCAGTACTTGTGAGAGAGATGGACACGATCTCAGTGGGAAGAAGCCTGGAGTCCCCACAATTTGAGGCTACTGTTCCCATTGGGGCCACCAAGAGAACAGAGGACCACTAAGCAGCGTCTGATATCCTAGGCCCTCTGCTGGACACATCAGGATTTCTCTCCCACTCAATCTTTCCAAAATCCTCTAAAGGAAGGGCTTCCTACTCCCATTTAAAAGAAGAGAACAGTGAGGTGGGAGAGCATGTACACAACTGCAGGATTGCACAACCAGGACTGGGAGCTGTGTGGCCAGGCTGTCCATAGGGTGCCACACGACCCTCAACCCCAAAACAGACCTGTGCAGAAGAGCTCCCTGGAGTTAACGGTTAGTCCCAGAGGTTTGGGATACATTGGCCCAACCGCTTTGCTCTGTCCCCTGTATTTCAGACTCTGGCCGGGGCAGATGGGGGGTTGTATGGTTTTCTCCATTCTCTCATTGAGGAAAACAGAAAGGAAGGAAATGTTCCAACTGCCTAAGAGGATAAGGCATTTAAGAAGCCTGGAGTGCTTTTTAAAGCCCTCATTGTGCAAGCTTTCACCTTTTTCAGAGTAATTCCCATGTACTGTTCCCCCTCACCCCCCGCAACCACTGCCCTTCAAGTGGGAATTACCATCCACATTTGAAGAGGGATGAGTTGCTTTGTACATTGGTGTTAGTTATAATCGCCTAATACATTGGTCCAACATGGAAATTCTACTAAGCACATTTGTTTATAAGAGAAGATGCCTGTAATGTTTACTTATAAGGTATTTCCACTGCGAATGTTTTGGGTGTTACTGTGGCACAGACTTGGAGTAAAACATTTCCCATAAACATTCTTAGAGTCCATTAACCTCTCTCAGTTCATTTCTCTCTGGATCCTCTGGAGGGATTTCCCCATTCCTGAATCTAGGAGGTGGCATTTCTCCACTTAGGCTGCAATGGCTCATTTCCTCAGTTGCAGGCGACAGGTCAGGCTCTGGAAGGCTCTTTTTGGCCAATGGGGAGCCAGATGGCTCTGGGGAGGCCAGTGCTGCCAGTCATGGTTGCTCCTGGCTCCTGGAGCAACACCTCACATACCTGCATCCCCTAGCCCAGCCCAGGATGGGTGCTGCTGAATGCTTGCTGGCAAGTGGTCTCAACCCCAGACTTAGAAATGCAGACATAGCTGAGTTGGATTGCTGGTTCCCCAGTTTCCTCAACTCCATTTTGCTAAAATCATGGACTTGAGCAAGACTTCCTGGGTTTGAATACCATCTTGGATAAGTGAATTTAATACTTGTTTCTTCAGTTTCTCCTTTTATAAGGCAGGGATAGTGTTTATGACTACCTTATGGGGCTGCTGTGAAGACTAAATTATTAATATTTTTAAAGCACTTAGAATAGGGCCTGGCACATAACCAACACTGTCTTAAGTGATTGCCATAATTATTGCTATTATTTTTATTCTTTCCGTCAACATGGATTGAGGACCATATGTGTGGAGTCAAGATGAATCAGCTTTGCTACTTACCTGCTGACTTATCCTGGGTGTTTTACTTAACTATTCTGTGCCTTGTTTCCTTTTACTGTGAAACAGGAACAATAAAACTGCATATGTTGCAGGTTGGTGGTGAGGACAGAGGGCATGTCCTTTCATGGCTCATGGTAAGTACTTAGTCAACCCTAGATACTGTTACCATCTATATCACTGGTGTTACTATGGTTCCTGGGTCAGGCCAGGCCCTCCACTGCTGTCTGGAAGAAACTTGGACAGATCTACTAGCATTTGGGGCCTAGGCAGCCATTCCTGTGCTTTGCCTAGGTTCTCCCTGAGCACTCCCCAGCATTGTAGACCAGGAATTTTGACCAAGCTCTTCCTGGCACACCTGTCACCTACCAGTCCTCTCCCAGATGTAGAGAAATGTTTTCCAAACATTCATTAGATTGCTAGGACCCTCTAATTGTTTTGCCTCTACACATAGACTATAATTCAAACTTTGCATGGGGTGCTTCTAGGCCTGGCCCCATTGGCCCTGAGCAGGCATTCCTCTGCATGCACACCCATGTAGGGCCTTTGCTCACTCTTCCCAGCCCATTGCCCTCCATGCTCTTCTTCAAGCCCTGGACCTCTGCAAGGATGGCTGCTTCCACCAGTGGGAGCTCTGGTCCAAGTTCCCTCCTCAGCAACTGCCCATCACTCCCCACCTGCCACCCTGTTTTGTTTTCTTCACAGTCTTGTGATGCCCTGAACCTATCTTCTTTATTTATTTGGTCACCTGTTTGCTGGATTGTTGGCACCATGAGGATAGGGGTCATGTCTGTTTCATTTCCAGGGCATCCCGGGGTGAATAAAAGCATAAGAGTGACTGCACATAGAGGGTGCTCTATAAACGCTAGTAAACAAATAAACCCTGGCTCCAAGCCTCCTTCAGGGAAGAGAGAATTCATTTCTTTATATAATGAAAGAGGTTGAGCCCCACAGTGAAAATTCCACTGTGGATGCCAGCCATGGGCCTGAGAAGCCTCTCACTCATCTGGGGAGGAAAAGAGGGGAGATGTCACATCCCCCTCTGACAGGATGGCTCATCGATGGCTCGTCTCAACCTCCTTGCCCACTCACGCCTGTCAAAAGCTGCTGGGTTTAAATGCACATGTTTCTATTCTGTATTATCAAGTGATTAATATTCAAGAGATGGCATTAAATAAATATGTGAGCAATTATGTAATGTGTTTGCAAACAGTTGGGTTAGTCCCAGAGTGCTTGGGTGAGAAACAAAACTTGAGCAAAGCTTTGGTCTGGGTGATCTCCCAGGGCTGGGGACAGAGGCTCCTGGCCAGTCTGCCTGTTTGCTCCCTCCCTGATTCGGTCTGGAATTACTTATCTTCCTTGCCCTGGCAGTGTGGGATAATAGGAAGTGACTTCAGGATCTTGGAGTTGCATCCTGGCTCTCCCACCTCCTGGCTGGCAAGGGAGGTCTCAGTCTGCTCATCTGTGAAAGGGTTATAGATGTCTCCTGGGAAGTCAGACAAGATCATGACTCCGAGCTCTGACTCAGAGGATTTCTTGTGGAAGGTAAGTTGGGTCTGATGCTGAAAGATAAGCAGTTTGAGCTCTGGTCCTCAAAAGGTGAGGAGATGGGGGTGTAGGGCATGGATTTGGGGTTCGGAGATATATAACATAAGGTAAATTAGGCAAGGCAACAACAAAGGCCCTCCCAAAGGGCTTCGGGATACAGAGGAAGATGTGCTTAATCCAGGCTAGGAGCCAGAGAAATCTCACAGAGCTGCCATGTCAGCTGGCTCGGGAAGGCTGAGTGGCCCAGAGAGAGGGCTGCCCATTTAACTAACCTGCATTGGGCACCTTGCATGCCTATTCATTCCTCAAGCATTTATTGAGCACCCACTATGTTCCAGCTACTCTGCTAAGCACTTTACATGGATCACTTTTGCTTGACTTACACAAGGAGATGCTGCACTGTCCCCATTTTACAGGTGAGAGAACTGAGACTCTGTTCACTGTGTGAAGTGATGCTGTCCTCCTCCTCTGCGTTCTGTGTCTACTCCCTATGCAAACGCAAAAGGGATCTAAGGGAATTTCCCCAAAGCAGCACAGTGGTGCATAAGTAATTCATGTATTCCTGCCAGGATGGCACAGAAAAGTTTGCTGCTCTCAAACCCTGCTTTCCTGCTCGGTTGAGCCTCCATTAGCAGCCTCCCAACAGTGCCCTCTTCCCACATCTACCCCACCCCCAGCAAAACCCCAGTCTTCAACTCACCCCTCCATGTGTCTGGTTAAATGAAAGGCGTTGGGGGTTTGGAAAGTGGGGCCCATGTCTTGCTGGCTCTGGGGATGGGTGACGAAGTTCAGCTGTGGAAAAGGGAGATGGCATTGATTAGGGGTGGGTGACTTGATGGGGACTGAGTCAGGAAGGAGTAGGAAGGGAAGACAGCTGTGGAGTATCCTCTGTGTGGTGGCACTGGGCTGGGGCCAGAGGTAGGTAAGGATGGAGATAGAAGAGAAGCAGGGGCACCTTTCTCCTCACCTACCTCCTAGGGGCTGGCCCAACCAAATGCGGACTCAGCCCCTGTCCCCACATCAAAACTTGCCAGATGGACTTCTCCCCTCTCTGGCCCTGTCTTGGGAAAGCAAGTCCACCTGCTGTCAGGGGTGTCAAGCTGGGGTCTCTGTCCTCTGTCTGCTGGTTGGGGTAGCCTACCAGGGCAGGGGTGTGGTCAAGTGGTCATGTGAATATGCTTTGGAGAGACAGAGTCCCTGGGCCTAGTGGCTCAACCTTTCTGAACCTTCATTTCCTCAACTTCAGGATAGAAATAATAATGATTTTTATGAGCATTCACACGTGTGTGTGTGTGTGTGGTTGTGTAGGTTTATGCACTTTTATCACATATGTAGTTTTATGTAACCACCACTACAATCAGGACTGTTCCATAACATGCTTACTGAGTCCAGTCCTTTATAGTCACATTCATTCCTCTCCACCTTCAATCCTAAACCCTGGCAGTCATGAAACTATTCTCCATGTCTAGAATATTGCTCATCCAATGATGTTCTATAAGTGGAATAATGCTAAATGTAAACTTTTGGGATTGGCTTTTCTGATTTAGAATAATTGTCTGGAGATTTAACCATCCAGTTCTTGTGTGTATCAACAGTTAATTTTTTAAAAATTCCTGATTGCTATTCATTGGTAGATGTATCACCGTTTGTTTAATCATTCGTCCACAAAAAACATCTGGGTTATTTCCAATTTTGGGCTATTATGAGTAAAACTGCTATAAATACTTGTGCATAGGTATTTTGTGTAGACATAAGCTCTCATTTATTTAGGATACATGCCCAAGATTGTAATTGTTGGGTTGCAAGGTAGTTGCATGTCTAGTTGTGTGTGTTTTTAAAAAGAAACTTCCAAACTTTTACAAAGTGGCTGTACCATTTTACATTTCCACCAGCAAAGTATAAATCATCCAGTTTTTCAGAATCCTCATCAACATTTGGTGGTGTTCTGTTTTATTTTAGCCATTCTGATAAGTGTGTAATATCTCATTGTGGTTTTAATTTGCAATTCTCTAATGACTAATGATGTCAAATGTCTTTTCATGTGCTTATAATATTTGCCATCTGTATATACACTTGTTGGAGAAATGTTCCTTCATGATCTTTGCCTATTTTTTAATTGGATTGTTTAATTTTTTTTTTTTACTGTTGAGTTTTAAAATATATGTCAGATATCAGTACTTTGTCAGATTTTATGGTTTTCAAATATTTCCTTCCACTCTGTAGCTTATATTTTCATCCTCTTAACAAAGTCTTTTGTAGAACAAAAGCTTTTAATTTTGATTAAGTTTAGTTTATCATTTTTTTCTCTTATAGATCATGCTTTTGATGTCAATTCTAAGAATGCTTTGCTTAGCTCTAGATCTTGAATATTTTCCTCTTACATTTTTTAAACCATAGGTTTTAGTTTTACATTTAGATCTGTGGTCCAGTTTGAGTTAATTTTTGTATAAGGTGCAAGACTTAAGTAGAAGATGTGTGTGTGTGCGTGCGTGCGTGCGTGCGTGCGTGCGTGCGTGCGTGCGTGTGTGTGTGTGTTTTAACCCATGGATGTCCAATGACTTCAGAACCATTGGTTGAAAAGATTATAATGTTTCCTTCATTGAATTGCTTTTGTACCTTGTTAAAAATTGGTGTGGCTTATTTGTATAGGTCTATTTCTAGATCCTCTATTCCATTCCATTGATCTCTCTGTCAGTACTATACAATTTTGGTTTTTGTGTAATAAAGCTTGAAATCAGGTAACCTGATTCTTTCCAATTTATTCTTTTTCAAACTATTTCAGCTATTCTAGCTCTTTTACATTTCCCGTATAAATTTTAGAATAACAATTTCTATATCTACAAAAATTTTGCTGGGATTTTGGTAGGAATTGCAGAGAACTGACATCTTAACTTTGCTGAGTCTTCCAATCCATGAACACACTATGTTACTTTATTTATTTAGGTATTCTTTGATTTCTGTTTTCAGTGTTTTGTAATTTTCAATATACAAATCTTATATACAGAAATGCAATAGATTTTTCTATGTGTCTTGTATCCTATGACCTTCCCAAACTCACTTATTAGTCCTAGGAGGTTTTCTTTTTTTGTAGATTCTTTGAGATTTTTAATGTAGAGAATGAAGTTATCTGCAAATAGGAGCAGTTTTATTTCTTTCTTTCCATCTGCCTTAGCTTATCTTATTGCACTGGCTAGCTAGTAATTGAATATGATGAGAGTTGACACCTTGCCTTGTTCCTAATTTTAGAGAAGGCATTTAGTCTTTAACCATTAAATATTATGTTAGATGTATTTTTTTGGTAGGCATTCTTTATCAAGTTGGGAAAGTTCCCTTCTATTTCTCTTTTTCTGTGCATTATATCATAAATCAGTGTTGAATTTTATGAAATGTTTTTCCTGAATTGATGGATGTGATCATATGAATTTTCTTCTTTAGCATATTAATATGGTGGATTATATTTGTTGATTTTAAAATGTCGAACCAACCTTGCATTACTGGAATAAACCTTACTTAGTCATAATTTTTAGCAGGGCATAATTTTTTTTACGTTGTTGAATTCTATTTGCTTATGTTTCATTCAAGATTTTCACATCTATATTTATGAAGGATATGGGCTTGTAGTTTTTATTTTTATTTGTTGTACTGTCTTTGTCTGGTTTTGATATCAGGGCAATTCTAGCTTAATGAATTGAACTGAGAAGTGTTTTCTCCTCTTCCATTTACTTAAAGATATTGTGTAGAATTGGTGTGTGTGTGTGTTTTTTTTTTTTTAACATTTAGTAAAATTCTCCAGTGAAACTATCTGTTCTGGAGATTTAATGTTATATGTTAAAATTTAAATCTACAATTTTATTTTTTTTTGTTTCCTGTTCTTTCTACATACACACAACCATATCTAAAAGTTTTATAAGTTTTGCTTTAACCATTGAACATACTTTAGAAAGCTCAAGAGGAGAAAGAATTTCTATTACATTTACCCACAATTTTGCTTACTTGATTCTTTTTTCCCTCCTGATATTCTAAAATTCCTTTAAAAGTTTTTCCCCTATGTGTTTGTAGATGTGGGGAAGCATGGGACCTGGTTGGAAAGTCTGTAAGGAGGTTACTCCAAAAGGTTGGGGGCCTCTAGGAGGGGACCTTGCCCAAGGCGGCAGCCCCTGCCTTGATTTTTCCAAACAAGTCCAAGCCCCTGGATATTTTACTGAAATCTCTGTATCTAGTCTTTAGGCCTGACCGTAGAGAAAGAAACATGTGCTTCCTCAAGGACACTTACTCTGCTAATTGTATATAGAGTTTAATTTTAGTTCAAGCGTTTGTTACAATAAAAGTCTAAGGAGGCAGGTGGATGGGGATGTTTGGTGCCTATAGCCAAACAGCCTCTTATCCTTCTCTTTCACAGAACGTGTGTCAGAGTAATTCGTCCATTGCTCAGGGTCTGCTGGTCAGTTCTGGCATGTAAAACTTCTTTTAGCATTGCTTTAGGTTGATTTTTTTAGCAATAAATTCTCTTAGTTTTCCTTCATCTGAGAATGTCTTGATTTTCCCTTAATTCCTAAAGAATCATATCACTGGATATAGAATTCTTACTTGTCAGTTCTTTCCTTTTAGTGTTTGAAAAAGATGTTGTGCCATTTCCTTTTGGCCTCCATGGTTTCTGATGAGAAATCCACTGGCATTCAAATTATTTCACTCTGATAAGTGAGTTACAGTATTTCTCTCTCACTGCTCAAAAGATTTTAGTTTTGTTTTTAGTTTTCAGGAGTTTAATTACTTTGTATCTTGGTGTGGATTAATTTGGGTTTATCCTCTTTGGAATTTCTCAGCTTCTTGAATCTGTAGGTTTATGGTTTTTGTTTGCCAAATTTTAGAAGATTTTAGAAAAATTTTTTTCAAGTAGTTTTTCAGCTCCACCCTCTTTTTCATTTTCTTTCAGGAATTCAATTACATATACATTAGATTTTTTTGTTATAATCTCACAAAAAAATAAAAGTCTAATCTGTTATCCAGATTAGATAATTCTTATTGTCCTAAATTCTAGTTCAATGATTTCTTTTCTCTGTTCTCTCTAGTTCACTGTCAAGCACATCCACTGACTTTCTAACAAAATTTTAGTTATCTTATATTTCAGTTCTAAAATTTCCATTTGGTTCTTTTCTATGTCTTCTATTTCATTACTATGTCTTTCTATTTTTTAAATTTGTTTCAAGTGTGTTCATAACTGAAGCTTAAAGCATTTTTTTATGATGGCTGCCTTAAAAAATATTTGTCAGATAAAATAACATCTCTGTAATCTCAAAGTTGACATCTACTGATTGAATTTTGACATTCAGTTTCAGATCTTCCTAGTTCTTGGTATAAATAAATTTCTACTGAAGTTTGGGCATTTGGGATATTATGTTATGGCCTCTGGATCACATTTAAACCTTCTACCAGTATTTCATCTGGCTTCCTCTGACATTACAGCAGTACAGGAAGGGGGGTTGGAAACTCCAGCTCTCCATTAGGCTTCCACTGATACCTCCCTGGGTGGGAAGGGTAGGAGTGCCTTATCATTACTCTACTGATACCATGGGTTCTGGGGGGTGAGATCTTGTTACCACCCAGTGGGTAATGAAATCCTGACTATGTACTTGTCCTTCTCTGACACCATCCTAGTGGTGCCTCATTATAGCTTGATGAAAGTAGAAGTGTAGTTTCTCTACTCGATCTTTGCCTGTTGGGGCAAGGGGATACAGTGTTTTTTATGGTGTTTGGCTGGTAGAGCAGTTTTTATCTAAAAGTATTGCCCCTTC